TAGCCAGGCTGAGCTCCAGCGGCCCTTCACCTCCAAGCAGCGCTGTACTCTCCCGCGCTGCGCTCCAGCAGCATGTCGCCAATCCTTGCATATCGCAAATGAGGAAGAGCTCTTTGCTCTTCCTGGAGATATAGCAGCCTACCGGCCTCCTGGGCGGTGACTTCCTAGGCCGAGCGGCCTCCCAGCAACCGGTACCTCCTCCCTTTCGGAGGGAAACATCATTGCAGGCTCTGCTATCCTCCGTACAGGCCCTAGACCCGGGCTACTTGGACTGGTACCGGCCTACCGCTATCCTACTGCTACTGGGCCTCTAAAAATGCCAACTTTTTGTCTTCTTCTGCTCGGCCTCCGGTACCCGACATTTCTACCAGTACTTCAGTGGTACCGGCTTACCTGCTACTTGAGTGTTTTTCCCCTCTGCTCTAAGTGCCGCGGGCCTACCCCCGCTACTCGAGTGTTTTCCCCCTGTAACCCTTCACAGTCACAGCCACAGGTAAGTACCGGCCCTGCGGGGCCTTGCAACCAACAAGTACCCTTGCGGGTCACACACACTCAACCGACAAGCACTCACACAGGCATGCAAACCAGCAGGCAAGCACACACACACAGACATGGAAATCACAGCCGAATGCGGGAATTTCAGCAAGGCATTCATTCCAGCGGCAAATCCCAGAAATCAGCAGTGTTCTCAGTCTGTGTTTTTGGCGGGTCGTTACAGAGTCCAATTCTTGGATCAAGCCTAAGCCTTGCATAAAGCCAGATGATTGCAACAGAGTCAAAGGACATAACATTGGAGGACAAGTGAAATGGAGCATTGGAAAAGATGATGCGGCTACATAGAGGAGGAGATGACATCTGAAATTCTGTAGAAAAAAGTGAAAAATGGAAAAAAAAAAAAAGCAAAACAAACTTAACAAAGCCAACTTTTGAGAATGTCCACCTGAAATTCTTTGTTGGTGGTTTCGGAATGAAAGGGCTCTGTCCCAAGCTTCGTGAACGCCACCAGCTCGGCAGAGCGGATCGGGGTCCTCATCTTTACCCCCGTGTATCGCGCAACAGGCTCATAATCCATCTGTTTGGTTGACCTGCCATTGACCAAACAGGCAATCATGGATTCAGAAGAGTCGAAAAAGGAGCAAGAGCCAAGAAGAGTTCCTTGGGCAAAAAAAAGTCAAATTTCAAAAGAGAGAAAATGCAGAAAAGAACTGTAGTACATTATATAAAAATTGGCGGGAAAGACTGACAGCATTACAAATCCGCTGCTCTATATAACCCAATCCTGTCTAAACTTTACCCCACCTTACAAAGCACAGTTTTAACATTTTTTTATCCAACCTTTTGGACCCAACCCTATCCAGCCTTATGGGCCCAACCCTATCCAACCTTATCCAACCTTATCCAAACTCATCCGAACTTATCCATTATCCGAACTTATACAACCTTCTCCAAAACTTATCCAACCTTATCCAACCTTATCCAAACCTTATCCAACCTTATCCAACCTTATCCAACCTTATCCAAACCTTATTCAACCTTATCCAACCTTATTCAACCTCATCCAACCTTACCAAATTGCACAAAACATATCTCATCATTTCTCATGTGATACATATATATTATATAGTATATACTTCATTCAATACAATGAAACCACAGCCCAACTTGAATTCATACAATGGCAGCAATGCAATGCAATCCCATCCCAGATTGGACTGCCAATGGCCAAAGACCCTGTCACTGATCAGGGCTGACCTGCCAAAACCCCCTTGCAACCTTACTGTGCCAACCTGTGCGCTCCCTCCTCCTCACGCCCTTCCCACCCCTCCTTGCCCCAGTCACTCTTTCAGTTAATTCACAAGAACCAATTGTGCATTCAAAACCACCTCTCTCCCCTCTCTCTCAGAGCCTATCGTGCCTTTGAAATGACGGCTCTCTCGCCTCACTTTTCTTCTTCTTCTTCTTCTTCTTCTTCTTCTTCTTCTTCTTCTTCTCACACTCTCAACTGCAGGATTCCCACATGCATAGCTGATTCGATTCGGCGACTCCAGACCGGAAGTTTTACCGTTCCTAACTTCCTCTTTGGTATTCACTATTTTGAACTTCAGACGAATAAGCGCAAAGAGGGACAGGAGAAAGTTGGAGTTAAAGAGTTGTTGAACGAAGAAGGCGGGAGTTTTTCAGAGACTGGCTACTTACTCTTTTGGAAAGATAGCAGACATCCATGGGCCATACCTTTATGAGAAAAATTTCTGCAAAACATGAGACTACGTAAACGCAAGACAAAAAAAAAAAAAAAAAAAAAAAAAAAAAAAAAAAAAAAAAAAAAACACGCAAGACAGAACTTAAAAAAAAAAAAAAAAAAGACGAAGAAGAAGAGTCAGAAGACAGACTATACAGACACACTTAGACAGGACAGGACAGACGATTGCTGTCCAGGGACATCCACTCTAGAGCAGTAGCAGTTATGTTGAAGGCGACACAGTTTATGGAGCAAGATGCTTCTCAGCTTATGGAGGCTATTTCGCTCGACAGCTAGGAAAGAAGAAGGTTACAGGGTTCAGACAGTACATCCTTCCGGTCAAACACAGCGAAAAAAATGCTATCAGGTTCTGTTCTATAGTCGTAAATTTTGTATCTTTCATTCTGCTCTTGCTAGGGATAGAAGGGACTGGACTGATGCTCCTCAGCGAAGGTGGAGCCTCCAGGGGGCAAGGCAAGCTGTCGGATATCCTACGGTCTATTGAAGGTATGCTTGGCACACTGTTTTGCCTCTAGAGTCTAGAGGCCAAATCTGTTTGGAATCTTTGGATGGACGAGTACTTTGCACTTGCCTGGCAGGTCGAACCTCCCGGACATCTCCAAGAAGGGAATGTTACGTGTTGGCGAGCCTCCTTGGTATCGCCAGCATACATTCGGTAGCACAGCGTGCACTTCTGCGTTTGTTGGTTTCTGGCAAACCTGACTGTCCCGAGCAAACCGAGACTGAGAGGAAAGGAAAAGACTGACAGTTCCGTTCTGACGCAGCCTGTCGACAGGCGGAGAGGAACTGATTAGCTCGGGTTTTGGCCTGTTTTTTAAAGCACCAGTACACCACATATCGGCCTGCGGGTGTCAGCATGAAACCCGCACCACTTCGGAGGCCGTCGATTTTTTTTTTCGACGCCGGGCTTGGCCGCGCGGCGCCTCCGAGTTTTGCTTGTGGCAACAAAAACTTTCTGCAAGGCTGGGGCCCTGTAGTAGCGGTGTTGAACAGATAAAAAATGGATAGCAAGTGTGGCATATGTAGATCCCACACGGGCCCAGTAGGACCCGTCAGGTAGGTAGGAAGGGAGGGGTAGGGACTTAGCTTTGGACTGGCGCACTAGGTTTTGGCGCCAGAAGTAGGGCCTGTGTTGGTTCAGGCCAGAAAGAGGGCCATTTTAGGCCCACACCAGGTTCGGCCGGGCCAGGCCCTGGTACAGGTAACGGTTCAGGCCCTGACCTCCTTTTTTTTCCCAAGCCACACTTGGACCATCAGATTCGATCCAAGTGTACGGCCTGATTGATTTCCAGGCCATTCATTCTCGGCGCCTCACGTTTAGGCCAGAAGGACCCAGGAGAGGCCAGACCAGTAGTGTTTATAGACTGGTCTGCCTCTCACTAGGCAGTTTAGTGTGAGCTACTATTCAGCGTTATGCTGCGTTAGTCTTCAGCGTTGGGCGCAGTAGCGGTAGGCCAGAGGTGGTGAGCATCGAGGCTGCAGTGGAGACTGCAGCGGGAGAGAGGCGGAGGCCAGACACTGGGACTTACCTGATGACTCACCTAGGGGCGCCATAGCTCCAGCTTCGTCTTCAGCACTCCAGTACCGGCGTCTAGGCAACACCTTTGCGTGGTCATTATCTGGTATCAGCAGAGAGAGAGAGAGCAGCGAGAGAGAGAGAGGGGACTCTTCTTCTCCTTCTTCTCCTTCTTCTTCTTCTTCTCTCCTCTGGACCTCCCCATCCTCCATTGCGCAGTATTCTACTTCCTTCTGGATACAAGAGAGAGAGAGAGAGAGAGAGAGAGAGAGAGAGAGAGAGAGAGAGAGAGAGAGAGAGAGAGAGAGAGAGAGAGAGAGAGAGAGAGAGTTATCTGGGATCTGCGCTTGGTGACATTTGGGCCATTGCCCTGTTCTGGTATTCGGGCAAAGACCCGCCTTTGGACAATGTGCTGAGATTGGGACTTTGGGAAACTTTGGGATCGATGACATTGGCGCCTTGGCCTTCTCGCCCCACTCTTCCTCTTCGTCTCCATCTCCCTCCTACTTCGTCTGTGGATGGTCTGGGGACATCGCCCCTTCTGTGTATGACTTGCTGGCCCCCCATCTCACCGAGTGGTAAATGAATGAGTGAGCATTGTCCATTCCAATCTTGCTGCGTCAGCGTGTATGTTCCAGTCTTCCACTGCGTTCTATTGTCTGTTGCTGGGATCGGTTCCTTGGATCTGCGCTACACTTGCAATGAACCCAGATTGTGAAGACACTTGTCAACAATGCAAGCCCAGATAGATATCAACCTGCTGATGATTGTCAATAATTAAAATCGTGTCCAGATAGAATGAGGTGGGGAAACATACACAGACGAAAGAGAGAGAGGGGAGAAGAGACTTGGAGGGGAGAAGTAAACAATGCCCACTCCTGCTTCGGGCTCCCTCCTCAATCGCCACCTCAATAATCAGTCCGAACACAAATCTGAAGTTCTATCTCAATGTGCCACGTGGCACATCAACCTGTCATCATCAGCGAGCTGGAGCAATGTCGAAATCGAGAGACCAGGTACGTATCTACAATCGCCCCACAGTCTTGATCTCCTTCCGAGTGACGATGAATCAGAACAGCAATATCAGATACGTAGCCCTGTCACGTCAGTAAGAGTACATGTGGCAGCAGCCACGTCAGAGGCGGCACATGGCAGCTGCCACGTCAGCATACCCAGAAGACAATTGCCAGCCAGCCACCATGCCGAGCCAGCAACGCGTCGCCGTAGTTGCTCAAGTGCCAGCGTCCCAGCCAGCGTCGCAGCGTCGCGCTAGCGTCGTAGTCAACGCGTGAAGTCAGCATTGACGCGAGACGGAATGTTCTCTCAGCCAGGTAGTCCAGGCTTATGCAGCGATTATGCAGGGTCTGGACCCCGGTTGCTGCTTCCCTAGGCCGTAGAGATCTCAAGACAAATGGCGACCCAGATTTGCCTGAAACCGAACTCCCTGTGGTCTTGATGCTGTCCGGGTACCTTCGCACAACAAGTGAATGTATCCGACCAAGGGCCTGGGCGTGGTACCTTTGACAGTTGGCTTAGACTTTTGACTTTCCGAAGCAGTGCGTGGTCACACTGCCCGACTCAGGCCGAGTCTGGCCTGAGTCGTCTGGGCTCCGTCTCGAGGGCCCAGACTGCTGCAGAACACGGGTTAATGCACACTTTGCTATGTGTAAATGTTATGCGACAGCAAGGGAGGGGCTTGGTGATTTGGTATGGGCTTATCTGACAGTCAATCCTTCCAAGTGCGAGCAATCGATGCTGTTGCAGATCGTCTGACCATAACCAGAGGAAGCGTGGGGTGAGCATACTTGGTTTTTATTCCGTGACTCGCCGGCGTAAAAAGAACTGGACTGCCGCTCCCCAGAATAGAACAGAACTGGGACCATGAGGCCCTGTTTTTTTTCTTTTTTTAAGTTTTTTTTTCTTTTTTTTTTTTTGCTTTTTTTAAAGCAAAGGTAGGGGTAAGAAGAAGAGGAGGAGGAGGAGGAGGAGGAGGTGGAGGAGGAAAACCATCTTTGGGTCATACCGCATGTCATTGCTCGTGAAGCCGATCTGTACATTTGACTTCGTTATCGATGGTGCAATCTGAGGTCCCAAACAGTCAAGAAAGTCAAATCAGAAACACAGCCACAGTATGATCCTATGTCAATATGATTTTCCCCCCTCAGTTATTTAGTAATCAGGGAAGAAACAATTGTCACATATTTTTCTCTATTGCCACAATGTTCAGAATCTTGAGATCACCACACAATGCACAGCCACACGGGCATGACGAGCATTCGATGACCTGAGTGTTTCCTGCCCTTTTGCAAGCCAACCAGATGGATCAAAGATTCAAAATATCAAAATTTTGGAATTGCGGAATTTCCGCCTTGCGCTTGTACATAGCTGGCTTATATACACAAACCTCTGTCTGTTCCCATCAGACAAACTAGTAGTACGGCTCCATCATCATGACCAATCTCAGTCCACACTATGCTCTTCCCCTGAACACAATGTGCCCTCGTCACGAGTTAATCGGACCCAACAATGTGTATGTTCACGGTGAGAGTGCGATGTGTTCGCATGAAGGCTCTACATGCACATCTTCAGTGGGGGGCAGATTCTCCATACTCAGAGAAATATTCCACTGCAAAGTTGCAAACATGCCTTGCAATTGCCATATTTACTGTCCCAATCAGGGTTGCGTACCCGCCGACCGCCTCCCCCACCGCCGACCGTATTGCAGCCGACCAGTCAGAAAACAGCCATCCACTTACTTCTTTTCAAATCTGAGGTGGGGCTGTACTGCGCTTGCTGAGTACAGCCCAAATCCACTGAGAAACTCTTGGGGATGAGGGGGTTATGGGGGGGTTGGGGGGTGAGTATAGGGGGATATAGGGGTGGTATAGGGGGTATTGGGGGGGGTATGAGGGTGTTGGGGGGCGGTTTGCGGGTGTTGGGGATGTGTATGGGGGTTTTGGGGTATTGGGGTGTTGGTGGGGTTATTAGGGGTTCTGGACCAACAAAATAAAAAAAAATATACTGATGAGTCGGTGAAACTCCGACAAAACAGTTTGTCTCAGCCCCTCGTTTGTTGTCCCCTTCTCCCTCTCTGCCTACGGTTTACTGGGCAGCTCTGTTTGACGATACTATGAAACACTACTATGAAAGCATCTCACAAGTCGATCACAACAATCGAACGCGCGACCTCCCTCTTGGGAGGCAAACACTCAACCAAACGGCTAAGCGGACTGGGGTGAAAGTTAAGCCCCAAGATGAGCACTTAACCCCACCCCAGCGCGGATTTCTCCGCGACCCGGTGTACCCAGTCACACACACTCAACCACAGGCCAGGCGCAGCCACCACACAATGTTCAACCGCACTGCAGGTTGCTACGTATGTCGATACTATGAAAGCATCTCACGAGTCGATCACAAGAATCAAACCCGCGATCTCCCTCTTGGGAGGCAAACACCCAACCAAACGGCTAAGTGGACTGGGGTGAAAGTTAAGCCCCAAGATGAGCACTTAACCCCACCCCAGCACAGATTTCTCCGCGACCCGGTGTACCCAGTCACACACACTCAACCACAGGCCCGGCGCAGCCACCACACAATGTTCAACCGCACTGCAGGTTGCTACATATGTCGATACTATGAAAGCATCTCACGAGTCGATCACAAGAATCGAACGCGCGACCTCCCTCTTGGGAGGCAAACACTCAACCAAACGGCTAAGTGGACTGGGGTGAAAGTTAA